ACTATATAGGATAGAAGCCTGGTGCACGGGTGGGGGCCGACTGGTTTGCCCTGAAGGGTGTCCTGGATCAGGGTGGGGGTCCATCCCCACTGGGGTGCCTGGCCAGCCTGTATGAGAGGATGATGGCTGTTTGCAGCTGATCACACCCCTTCAGGGTGGGGGTCCCCACCTGGGTGCCTAGCCAGTCTGGGTGAGGGCTGAGGGCTGTTTTCAGGCTGGCGGGTGACTGAAGCTCCCAACCTGTCCTTTTTTTCTTTTTTTTTTTATTCTGGGCCAGCTTTAGCTCTGAGGCTCGGCTCCAGCTCTGAGGCCTCGGCTGCTGAAAGCAGGTATCTGGTTTGTTTGGGTTCTATAAGTGTAACACTGTTGTGGTCCTGCTCACTCCAGCTCTGAGATCCCGGCTGGCTGAAAGCAGGGATCTGCATTTGTTCTATAATTGAAACAATGTTGTGGTCCTGCTTTCTTAAGCCCGGCTCGCTGAAAGCAGGTTTCTGGGGTTTTGTTTAGCTTTTATATTTGTAACAATGTTTCTTAAACTGCAAACTCAAAGGCCAGCAAGGCAGGCGGGGAACGTTGGTTTCCTCCGTCACTGAAGCAAGCAAGCCTCCTGTTCGCTTCAAGCTGCCTGGCTGCCGGCCGCCATCTTGGTTGGCAGTTAATTTGCATATCGCCCTGATTAGCCAATGGGAAGGGTAGCAGAGGTATGGCTAATTACCATGTTTCTCTATTATTAGATAGGATTAGTAGCCCGGTCTACATTAAAGGGGAATTAATTAGCAGAAATATTTTAATATTGCTCTTTGCCCTTTCTGTATAATAGAAGTGTGAGAGATGAAAGGAAATTAGTAAAATGTATATGAAAATAATATATAAATTTATTAATAAATAAACTAACAAAAGGATATAACAGCAACAGAGGCATGATATAAAAATGACAAAACATGATATGAAAACAACAAAAACATGATATAAAAACAACAAAAATATGATATAAAAACAACAGTGATGCAAACAATGACTGATAAAGTGATTCAACTTACTCTAATATTTCCCTGTACACCACATTAAGAGTGAAAACACTTTCAGAGTACTTGACTAATTTCCCTTGTGATGAAGTATTTAGAACTTTAACTGTAACGTCACATGCTCTTCAAACTCAAGAGAAAGCAACATATAACTGACAATGTGCAAAAACGGGTTCAGGTATGAATATGCCTACTCTGTCTAGAGTTTGTCCTTGTGATTTATGAGTAGTCATCGCAAATGCTGGCATCACAGGAAACTGTCATCGAATTAATTTAAATGGGAGGCCAGTGTCAGATGGGGATGAATCAATTCTTGGAATCAAAACAACTTCTCCCTCTGCAGATCCTGTTAATACTTCAGCTTTGATAATGTTAGGTTGTAATCTTTTGATAATAAATCTGGCACCATTACAAAGACCCCATTTACTATTAAGATTTCTCAATAGCATGATGATTGCACCACTTTCAATTTTAATTTATGACACAGCATTCCCAAAGAAGTAATACTATTAAGAAATTCAATGGCAAAATTTTTCTTTTCAGCATCATCTGTTGAATCAATGGAATCATCACTCAAATATGTGTGAAAATCTCCATCGAATATAACCAAAATGTCCTAATTTAATTTTTGAACATGCTCATTTTTTTGGACAAAGAATTGCATGTTTAGATATATTTTTAATATTATCTATAGATATACTATTTCCAAAGGTAGCTTCAATAATAGATCCATTACAAATCATTTCACAGGGGATTTCAATAATATCCATTCCTAAATGAAAACTGCTATCAAGTTTACCATCTCCAAGTTTTATTAACCATCCACTATAAGCAGAATCCTCTGATCTCATATTTGTTTTAAGAGACAACTTTCTGAAACATCCCCAAACATTACAGTACTTTAAACTCGTTTGTACTATGGCCGATCACATAGCATGCGGTACAATACTGAGACATTGTCAAAAACCCCCTCCAAGAAGGAGAACTTTCCCACCAAACACAACATTCAAATTCATAATTTCTCTTAGTAATCTGTCTATGGCATTTATAGCATGACTGGATGCCATGATGCATTCATCAATAATGAGAAGTTGGGCCTTTTTAGTAGTTTTAGCAATTCACTGTTTATATTGAGTCTAGAAATTAAAGTTTCATTTAATGTAATTGGTCATTTATATTGGGAATGAAAGATTCTTCCACCAAGAAGTAAATTGCAGCAATTCCTGTAGACGCTGTGGGTAAAACAGTACCATCACAACCTCTAATCTAATATATTAAAACTTTATTGTGGGGAGCCGCTACAGTGTTTTGGACAGCTTCAAGCCTTGGACTGATGAGAGGGCACAGTTCTCTCATTGCCACGTGCAAGCCCCAGCTTGGAGGGCAGGGCCCTCCCAGCACAATTATAGCCAACAGCTATAGTTGTAAGCTTGAACCTATGGTCCAAACACATGGCCCCACATGCCTGAGTGATGTAGGCTTGATAGAGTTCAGGTGCATGTAGTTGAGTAGGATTGAAACCCAGGAGAATGTTGTAAACATCTTGGTCACTTCCTTACTTTGCCTCATGGCATCTGCTATAAAATAAAGACACAGCTGTGGGTGTGGTCACTGTCTCTCAGAGAAGCAGCGTCCCACTGAGACCCAGTTTTCATTCCCTTGTCTGTCTTTTCTAAGCCTTTCAGCCGCCCCCCACTCAGGTTCACCCTTGGCTGTGCTGGCACGGCACACTTTATAAAGATATGCCTCCATGCTCCGAGGGCAGGTTCCTGCCTCAAACCTCGCCCTTACCGGAAACAGCTCCAGGAAACAGCTTGGGGGAGGGTGCAGCCGTTTCCAAGACAACCCCTTTAGGACTGACTTCCTTCCGGTTGGTCGTGCCTCAGGTCGTGATGTTACACCCAGGGTTTTTATATAAGTAAATAGATATACTAGAGGCTCGGTGCACAAAATTCATGCACAGGTAGGTTCCCTAGGCCTGGCCAGCGATCAGGGCCGATCAAGTTACCCTGCCTCCCCGCCTCCTCCTTCCCTTGCTGCCCACGTGCCACCACCACATGATTCCCCGCCTCCCCGCCTTCTCCTTCCCCCGCTCCCTCAGTGCCCCGCTGCCACCACTGGTCGCCCACCATGTCCCACGCTACCCCCTGTTGGTCAGTGCATGTCACAGTGAGCGATTGAACTCCCTGTCTCCTGGTCAAACTCCCGAAGGAACACTTTGCATATTAGCCTTTTAGATATATATATTCACATATATAGAGAGAGAGATACAGACAGTCCTCAGGAATACGTCGGACTTGAAGTATGTCATTTCATGGTTACGTCGCTATCTCCCATTTATTTATTTAAAAAAGTTTGTCATTTGACATATGTACATATGTGCTTTATGTTATTATTTATTTACCACAAGTAAAGGTCAGGAATTGTTATCTTTCTTTTAAATTTTTGTTACTGTTTCATTTCATTACTGCTGTGTATGTGCTCCATGTGAGTGACGTAGGTGCTTCTGTAGGTGGGTTCTGACCTACGGTGAAAATGACGTTATGTCATGCCGTAGGAACAGCTCTCCGACGAAACCCGAGGACCTACTGTGTGTGTGTGTGTGTGTGTGTGTGTGTGTGTGTGTGTGTATTTTAGAGAGAGGAAGAGAGAGGGAGAGAGAGAGAGAAACATCAGTGATGAGAGAGAATCAGTGATTGGCTGCCTCCTGCACTGCCCCACACTGGGGATTGAGCCTGCAACCGACCATGTGCCCGACCGGGAATCGAACCGTGACCTCCTGATTCATAGGTCAATGCTCAGCCTCTGGGCCACTGGGCCACATTTCCGTCCTTACGCACACTGAGAATTCCGTACGTCTCCCGTCCGGTTGAGCCTCCTGGCCTGCTCCCCTCACACCTGCCCCTCTAGTGCCACTGCCTCTGCAGACCACGGGCAGTGCGGACTGGGGGCGGGAAGCTTGCATTGGGCTTGAGCTGGGGGGAGAAGTAGCCAGGGTCCACTCCAGAAAGCTGGCCGTCACCGCCTCCCCTCTCGGTGGCTGGTGTGGCTGCCTACCTCCCCGCGGTTCTGAGGAGGCAGAGCCCGCTACCTCCCCAGCGGCTGCGGGGAGAGGGCAGGAAGGAGCCCCCCAGTCCCCGAGTCCTGTGGTCGGAGCAGAAGTGCTTGGAGCAGCGGGACTGGGCGCCCCTCCCCGGACCTGGCGCAGGCTGCATCGTGCCTTTATGCAGCCAGACACCTCAGCCTGTGCGGGAAAGAGGTTGTGGCTGGGAACCTGACGTTTCGTTTGGGACGAGCTTTGTGAGCCGGGAAGAGATGCTGTTAGGATCAGCAGAGTCGGGAGAAAGCAGCAGTGGTGACCGGGGTGAGGATTTAGAGGTGGAGGCGCACCCGGCTCCCAGAACACCGCGGGACCTTGGGAGCCGTTACCTCCGAGGACTGCCATATGGAGCTGGCCTTGGGTTTGTCATTATTCCCGGGGCTCCTGCCTGTCCTGCAGGGAGCTCCTTGTCCCATGAGCCCCGGGGTCCCGTGCGTGGTGTGCTAGCGGGTGAGGCCGAGCACTGGCGTGTGTCCTGCTGGAAGCCGCCCGCTGCAGGAGAGAGTGTGGTGGAGGAGCGGCCAGGGCGGCCCTGAGGGGCTTGCCCTGGTCCAGCCATTGATAATGGGGCTGCCCGTCCCTGGCAACGTCCCTGGCAACGCTGGGATGTGCAGAGCTAGTCAGGTGGTCGGCCTCCATCCGCCAGAGGCAGACAGAAATCCCGAGTGTGTGAGCTTGCAGCCTTTTCCTCATGCTGTCCTGTGAGCAGATTTGGGCCGCAGCATGCTGTTCTGGTACCAAAGTTAAAGGCACTCCCGGCAGACTTGCGTCGTGTCTTGTCTTGCCCACAGCAAGCCCAGCGATAGCTGCCGCCCTGGCACAGTCTCGTTCAGATTCTGTGATGCACTTTGACAGTAACGCTGCTTTCCCCACAGAACATCGACATCACCAACTTCAGCAGCAGCTGGAGCGACGGCCTGGCCTTCTGCGCGCTCCTCCACACCTACCTGCCTGCCCACATCCCGTACCAGGAGCTGAGCAGTCAGGAGAAGGTAAGCCCCGTCGCCCCGTGCTTCTCTGGAACACGCTGGGGTGGAGTGGAAACCAGGATTCCGATACCGGGCGTGGGCCGCGTGGGACCCCTCCGCGCGTGTTCAGACCCTTTCGCCTTCCTCGCTCTGAAGCCGTGGAACCGAGACGAAACACACACTATAACATGCTCTAGGCACCCCTATGGCTCCAGTATAAGAGATCACAAGGGTTTAGGGGCCTGTGGACAAGGACCAGATAACATTTCTGATTCTAAAGCCCAGCGTCTGTCAGTAGCAGGAGGGCAGATCCAGGAGCCTGTGGGGTAGAAGGGATGAGCAAGGGCGTCTGCAGGGCGCAGGGAGGGGACCACCAGGCAGGGCGGTCGCAGCCCTCACAGCGAAGCCCCGTCCAACAGCGACCTTGGCGCCATCCCCCTCCTGCCCCTCATTTTTCAGGCTCTGCCTTTGCCGTGTGACATCACGAAGATAACTGAGTAAACAATGGGCGTAACACAACCCAAAGCGAGCGGGAGACCGTGCTAAGAGGGTGTGAGTGTGGGCCTAGGCACTTACCCACACTGTACCCACCGGCGCCTTCCTGAGAGTGTGGGTGCTCGTCCCAGGCAGGCCGCACCCCCAGGCTCTTTGCCCCCAGTCGGTGAGGACTGTGGGGAAATGAGGAGCCCGAGTGTGTGCTGCACGTGGTGCTCTGAGCGCACGAGGTGCTTCCTGGCGCTGGGTTGTGTGGTCTCCCCAGCGCCCTGCGGGTCGGGTGAGGTGGGGCTCGGCTGCAGGGTCCCGGCACAGCCTCCTCTCCCAGAGTCCGCGCTGCTGTCAGGCGTGCGGAGGTGGAGGCATCGCTCCGGCAGCTGGAGCCCTTGTGGGGCCTGTGGCTCCCAGCCTCCTATCAGAGCAGCATTCGCCTCCCAGGCCTCAGCTGTTCCCTGGTGGCCCCCCACTCCCAGAGGAAGGCAGTTTCCTGCCTCCTGCCTGCCCTGCACAGCTGCACTCCGGTGGGGTCACTTGCCCACTGCCTGCTGCGGTGAGCATGCTTGAGGACTGCTTACAGTCACCTTGCCGTAAACGTATTAAAGTTACTCATAAATGTTTTCAAAACGATGTGTAAACACAAGCAAATCCAGCCCACAGTGTGCACTGAGTCTGGTGAGCCTCTTGGATCCGGCTGGGGGGAAGGGCGGCCAGGGACGCTTTTCCTAAAGGAGGCAGATTTGAAGCTGGGTTTCCAAGGGAGCAAGGTAATTTGAATGAAATGTACCCCTCTGACATTTTAAAAATATACTTGTATTGATTTCAGAGAGGAAGGGAGAGGGAGAGGGAGAGAGAGAGGGAGAGGGAGAGGGAGAGGGAGAGAGAGAGAGAGAGAGAGAGAGAGAGAGAGAGAGAGAGAGAGAGAGAAACATCAATGATGAGAGAGAGAGAGAAACATCAATGATGAGAGAGAGAGAGAAACATCAATGATGAGAGAGAATCATTGATGGGCTGCCTCCTGCCACCCCCCCACTGGGGATTGAGCCCACAACCCGGGCATGTGCCCTGACCGGGAATCTAACTGTGACGTCCTGGTTCATAGGTTGATGCTCATCCAATGCGCTACGCCGGCTGGGCCTCCTGCGACATTAAGATGAGTGAAGTGTAGCTGCCTAGATGGGGTTGGTGTAGCAACATGTCAGAAAGGGCATCAAGAGAGGCCTGTGCTGTAAAGCCCGACTAAAGGCAAACCTAGGAGCTGTGTGGTGTAGCCATTGATAGCCCGGAAAGTCAGAACGCGAGCTGGTCCTCCCCGACGGACACAGTCAAGCCAGACGATGTGCATGAGAAGGAATTTCTCATAAAACTAGCGAGGGCCTCTTCCACACACTGAAGAGGTCGACAGTCACAGGGTGGGAGCTGTAGGCCGTGGAAGGTGTGGCCTTTTTCAATCAAACGCATATTGTCAGTCAGCAGACGAAACCCCCACTTACGTTGAACACTCAGGTGATAGAATGAAGTGTGTTTATGTCTGAGATGAAATAGTAAGGAGAGGAGAAATTCTGGATGTGAGACTCTTTCTCCCATCATTTCAGGTGAGTGCACTATCCTAGAACAGGAAGGTTCCAGGCCTGCTCTTGTCCCCGGACAGGACTGATGAAGCGGCGCTTTCTTCTCGCCCTGCGCTGGCCTCGGTGGGCTCAGGCCCGGTGCTCCCTGCGCTGGCCTCGGTGGGCGCAGGCCCGGTGCTCCCTGCGCTGGCCTCTGTGGGCGCAGGCCCGGTGTTCCCTGCGCTGGCCTCTGTGGGCTCAGGCCCGGTGTTCCCTGCGCTGGCCTCTGTGGGCTCAGGCCCGGTGCTCCCTGCGCTGGCCTCGGTGGGCTCAGGCCCGGTGCTCCCTGCGCTGGCCTCGGTGGGCGCAGGCCCGGTGCTCCCTGCGCTGGCCTCTGTGGGCGCAGGCCCGGTGTTCCCTGCGCTGGCCTCTGTGGGCTCAGGCCCGGGGCTCCCTGCACTGCCTCCGCGGGCGCAGGCTCAGTGCTCCCTGCGCTGCCTCCACGGGCGCAGGCCCGGTGCTCCCTGCACTGGCCTCCATGGGCTCAGGCCCGGTGCTCCCTGCGCTGGCCTCGGTGGGTGCAGGCCCAGTGCTCCCTGCTCTGTGTCCATGGGCACCGCTTCTGCCTGGGCATACTCTGTGCCCCCAGCAGTGGTCTCTCCTGAGGGCCTCTCTGCAGTGCCCGGGGCAGTGCTCTGATGGAGAGAATTAGGGTGACATGTGGTCACCCCTCTCCCTAATGCTCCGTGCCACACTGCACAGTTCCCGGTGTTCTGAGACGGCGCTTCCCATTATCCACTTCTTCCTCAGTGCTCTCTGCTTAGAAAACACCAGCAGGCCCATCAAAACCCAGCGGAGGGGCCTTGGGGGACCCGTATAAAACCTCAGGCTTAGAAACACCTGTTCCTTAGACTTATTAGTGATCAAAGAATGCAAGTTAAAACAATAAAATATTCTTTTTAGCCTGTCACAGTGGCAGGGACTTTTGATAATCATAGTGTTCTGTACAGGTGAGGGTGTGGGGAAGTGGGCACATACATTTTTGCTGAAATTGGAAGTTGCTGTAACATTTTAGAAAGCAGTTTGCATTAGTGGTAGCCTAAATCTGGCTTACAAAGCCTCTCCTCCCCAAAACTAACCAAAAGGAATTTAGAAGTAAGGACCAAGGCCTCGTTAGCGCCCGAACAGGAGAATCTAGCCGCAGTCCAGGCCGAGTTAGAGCGAGCCAGGAGCCCACTGGCCGCTCCTCTCCACAGCTCGGAGTGTGTGTGGAAACGTGGCAGGCGCCCAATTCATGCCCATTCACTGCCCTTCATTTGGAGGAAGAGCGCTGGCGCTTGGGCCTGCTGACCGCAGATGACCAGCTTGGCACACCCCCGGCCGCGGGGGAGGACGGGCTCCCTGGGCCTCGCACCCAGCGCTGGAGCCTCACTCTCCAGGCACCAGATGTGCGGGCAGGGCAGCTGGTGCAGGCCATGGGCACAGAACATGTACAAAGTCTAAATGGGTAGAATTGCTAAGTCTACTGGAACATAAAACATGAATATGTACAGAAACACTTGCCTCCCAATTACACTTACTTTACTAAGCTCATTAAATGTAATCCTAATGACTTTCAGATAAATTATGGAGGGGAGGACGCATGACCCAGTGATTCTTAAATGCGTCCAGATGAAGAAGCATCAAGAACAACCAGAAAGAATCTCACAAAGAAGCAACAAATTAGGGGAAAATTATTATGGAGCAGGACCTTTAAAATTCCAGGAAAATTATTTTCACCCTCGTTATTGACCAAGTGTGAGGGTACAGAGGGAACTGTTCCTACGTGAATGTTTCCAGAAAAGGTGCCTGTCCCACCCCCTTCTTCAGAAGGAAGCCAGAGTACGCCCTCCCAGGGATTGTGTGGAAATGGCATGGGGTTCTGAACGACTCCAGCCTGAAGATTCGCAGGGTGGTGACAGGGCTGGGTCACAGGAGAATCCTCTGTGGGAAATGCGTTAGTGACACGGCATCATGACGAACTGTCGAGAAGGAAGTGCAGTTGGGGTGCACTACTTTGTCAGTGCTGTTGGTTGTTTCTGGTTTTCAGAATTATCCTATTAAGAGAGGAGAGAAGACTTAAATGTGGTTATAAAAAAGGAACTGAGTGTTACCAGTTTCAATAATTTAAAAAGTAAAACCTGACAAGATGAAGGAACTTCCTCATTGTATACAGTGGAGTGAGGAAGTGCTGTCCATGATTGATGGAATAAGAAATGGAGATACAAGGGTATTATTTAAAGTCACAAACATAACTCATAAAAGAACGAAAAGTAGCCATGTGGCTGTAAGGAGGAAAAGGGAGAGGTGCATGACAGCTGAGTCCTCACTTATTCCGGGAGGAGGTGTTATTTTAGAAATCAAGGAGCAGTGTGTGAGGGTGTCGCCGAAGAACCAGGGACAGGCATCAGAGAGGCTCTCCCCGGGACCCAGGACGGGGGAAGAGCAGCTTTCCCACTTGGTTATATGTAACTGTGTGGACACATGACTTTGATGGTTTAATATAGCACCATGATTCAGCAAACAGCTGTTGACACACAGCAGAAGTATAAGCCCTGTATCTAGACAAAGTAAAAAATAACAGAATTAAGAAAAATGTATCTGATAGTCAGGAGTCAGTATTGTCATTTTTAGTGACATTTGTAACCTGACAATTTTTTTTTTCTTATACTGAGACCATTGTTTGTATATTTGGCTTAAATTTTTAAGTGACTTACAGGTTTCTTATATGGGAATGTCCATGGTGGTCTTAGCAAAAGCTGTATGTTTTTAGTTGGTAATTCCAGTCTCCCTGTCTTTTCACCTTAGAAAAGGAATCTCTTGTTGGCATTTGAAGCAGCTGAAAGTGTAGGCATTAAGCCCAGCCTGGTAAGTATCCTCTTTTGTATCCTTGTTATATTTCAGTCTAATCATGTGAGGAAGAACTCTATGTCGTTACTGACAGTTTCTTACAGAACATAGACATACATTTGTTGAAGATTGGAAATTGATCCCTCATGATCTCTAATACAAAATTACCCAGTTGGTCAGACCATGTATGATTTAGAGAGGCTTTTTTAAGTCCTTTTGTAAATATGTTTGTATTGGTTTTTTAGAGAAAGAGGAAGAGAACGAGAAAGAGAAACATCAATTGGTTGCCTCCCGTAAGTGCGTGCCTGACTGGGGACTGAACCGGCAACCTGGGCATGTGCCCTGACTTGAACCAGCGACCTTTCAATGCATGAGCTGTAGTAAAAATCAAAGCCATGAGGCACAGCTGACACTGGCAGCCCCAGGGCTGGGGCTGGGGTAGTGGTAGAGGGCCTGGAGCAGTGAGTTCCTATGGGTATTGTTTCACACCCACACAGGGACAGGTGAGGCCCTGAGCTCCCATGAGCAGAGCTGAAGTACCGAGCCCTGCACAGAACCAAGGCTCACAGAGTGCTGCGCTTCTTAGTGAGAGCGGGTGGAAAACTCCACCTGCCCGCCAGGGAGGTGCGATAAGGAAGTTTGTTCTTCCCATCAGATTTTTTGTGGCCAAAAAAAGGGGGGAAACCTCCTGTAAGAAAAGGAAACAGCCAGATGAGGTTTAGAATACAGAATTGTAATTCCTGTGTGCAAGAAGCCCCTAGTTTACACTATCTCTAGTTCAAGAAGCTCCTTGGCTAGTAGTACAATGGTTGCTGGAAATATGCTAACAAGACAAACTTTAAAAACACTCAAAAAATTGATCTATTTGAGCTTGTCAGCAGACACAAGAAACAAGAAGTTCGTCTACTAGAACCTAAGGTTATAAAACAGAAAGAGGCTACAGAAGACTATGTTTAAACATGTTAAGAGATCAAAGGAATACAAATCATAAGAAAGGAGCATGTTATTATTTTTAAAAAAAGATTTGGGGAAATAATCAAATAAAACTTTGAGAAATGAAAATTTGGAATTAGCAATACCAGTTGGCTTGAAAAACTAATTGGTTAGCTATGGAAGAAGAGAGAACTACTGAACTAGAAAATAGATGTAAAAAAAATTGCCCAGAACATAAAACAGAAACTTTAAAAAAATGGAAAATAATCCTGGCCAGTTTGGCTCAGTGGTTGGAGCATTGGTCTGCACACTGAAGAGTCACAGTTTTGATTCCTGGTCAAGGGCACATACCTTGGTTGCAGGCTCAATCCCTGACCCCAGTTGGGGTGCATGGGGAAGACAACCAACGGATGTGTCTCTCTCACATCGATGTTTCTCTCCCCCCCTTCTAAAAAAATTAATGGGAAAAATATCCTCGAGTGAGGATATAAGAAATGAAAAATAGCCCTGGCTGGGCGGCTAGTTGTGGTGGGTTTGTTTCCCAGGCAGGGCACATACCTAGGTTGCAGGTTTGATCCCTGTTTGGGGCAGGTGTGGGAGACAACTGATCCATGATTCTCACATCTCTATCAGTTTTTTAAATGGAAAATATAATAAAGGGGTTATATAAGTTAGTGTGTATTCAACATCAAGAAGTGGAAAACCCACCTTGGCCCGTTTTTCTCAGTGGTTCAAGAGTTGGCCTATAGACCAAAGGGTCCGAGGTCAATTCCGGGTCAAGGACATGTACTTGGGTTGCAGGCCCGATCCTGGCCCGAGTTGGGGTGTGTGCAGGAGACAACCGATCAATGTTTCTCTCTTTGTCTCTCTCTCCCTCCCTTCCTTCCACTCTCTAAAAATCAATGGAAAATAAAATATCCTCAGGTGAGGATTAATGGAAAAACAAACAAAAAAAGAAATGGAAAACCCAGCTAGCAGTTGCAAATGCCATAAAGATGTTTTGTTTTGTTTTTTAGTAAGAAACCCAGTAGTTTCAGGCACTGCTCAGTGTTGAAATCAAGGGCCCAAGTGCTGCTTCTCTCTACTTCGCCACCTCTCATGTTGGCTTTTCCTCCCCGACTTGCTACTGGCTCTGTGGTTGAATGTGGATGCCGGGCGCCTGACATCACTCCCATCTGCGGGCAGGAAGGAGGGACGGGATAGAGCAAAGCCTCGCACATTCCCCTCTGACCAGGAAATCAGAGTCCCTCCAGCTCATTGGCATTCCTCTCTCACATCGTCACTTCAGCCACCAGGGAATTGACAAAGTGAGCAGATAGTATTTTCTTTAACGGGAAGCCTGCAAGGGAAAAAGAGGATGGGAATCACCTAAGAGCTAAGAGACATGGGAGGTAAAGTCGGACAGTGACTTCGTCCCTAGTCAGGTAGGAACTCCAGAAGAAGAGAAGTGGTGCCTGAAATTTTCCCAGAATGATGGAGACTACAGATTCTTAATGAATCTCAACAGGATAAATAAAAAAAAATTCATTCAGACGAATAATAACTAAACTGCAGAAACAGCATAGTAAAGGGAAGTAATCTACGAATGATTTCTACTAACCAATAATTTAAAAAACAATCTAGTGGCTTTAGCCGGTTTGGCTCAGTGGATAGAGAGTCAGCCTGCGGACGGAAGGGCTCTGGGTTCGATTCTGGTCAAGGGCACGTACCTCAGTTGCAGGATCCTCCCTGGCCCAGGCCCTGGTCAGGGCGCTTGCAGGAGGCAACCCATCAATGTGTTTCTCTCACATCGATGTTTCTCTCTCTTTTTCCCTCTCTCTTCTACCTTCTTTAAGAAATCAATGGGGGGGGGGGGGGGAGAATGGGAAAACATCCTTAGGTGAGGATTTAGAAAAACAAAAATAAAAAATCTAGTAGAAAATTGTCAAAGGCTAGAATAGCCAACTCACAAATGGCCAGTGACCATTTTAGACGATGTCCAGTCTCATTGGGACCAGGAAAATCTAAGCTGAAATACAGTGAGGCCACGCGCAGCCCTCGGGCGGGGAAGCTGAGCCAGGGGAACGGGAAAGGACAGCTGCCGGAGAACCCTGAGTCCCATGAATGCTGTTTGCCAACATGTCTGAAACAGAATGGACAGTTTTCTAAAGAAATGGAAATATATTTCAAATATTAAATGTAAATCTTTCTCCAAAACTTAGAAGTAAGTAGAATTTGGACCATTAAAAATGTTGAATTCATTGTTTAAAATATCGTCATACACACATACCCAAAACCAAAGCCCACATTCTACTAACCTGTTAAGAAACAGAAGCCCTAGTGTGTGCATCCAAGTGCAGAGAATTGAAAGTGAGGAGGAAGCTCCCCCTTCCCCACCCCTCTCCCCGGCCCCCGGAGCCTGATTTCTCTTCCTCTGAAGCACTAACAGCTAACAAGTAACAGTAACTTACATCAGGAATCAAAGATGCAATGAGAACTTGTTAGAAGTTATATTATGTACAAGAATACATCTTTGTTGTATTACAGTTAATAGTTGCTTCTTTTTACTTTAGCATTTTTTCCTAATTTTCATCTAATGTACATCAGACGTTGGTGAGAGCTAGGCAGCGAAGGAGACCTTGCGTTGGCCTAATTGTCAGAGTCAGAAATTCCATTTTCCAAGGCCTGTGAGGAGCTGCTGACAGCATGATTAATCTCAGAAGCGTTTAGGGATGTTTGTGAGCAATTTCACCAGTTCCTGTCATCAACAGAATAGAAACTTCCTATGTTATTAATTTTTTATTCACTATCTTGATGTAGATTGGAAAATAATATAATTACTCCTGACACTTTTAAAATGCATCCCATCAGAATGGACAGCAATACCCATCCCAGGCTTTTGATCAAGTTCTGCTGTTAAATTAGTCAGAAAAGTGCTCACTTATACGTGTACATTCAGCTAAATTCAGGTTTCTGGGTGTAGCGTATGAGTAAGGATGAGATTTTTTAAAAGTGAAAGCACTACTCTGTTCCCCAAAAGTTAGCAAGCATTCCCCTTCGGCCGGTGGAACACGGAGGAGTTTCAGCCCATCGCGTGACACAGGTGAGGCAGGCTCTGCGGCATTGCTGCTGGGCCTGCGAAGGGCCGAGCGCGTGCCCACCGGGGCCGGGCTGCCCATAGACAGTCATGCGTCAGCAAGTGAAGACATTCGGTTCTTCCTTGCCAGCCTGTGTGCCTTCAGGGTCTCTCCGGCCGCGTGGCACCGGCAGGGACGCTCAGCACAGGGTCGAGTAGGAGAGGGGAGAGGACCGCCTGCCTGTCCCTTCGCCTGACCTTAGAGGAAAGTTTTCCATTCCTCTCCACTAACTTGTGGCTTTTGGTGTCTGTTCTGTATCATGTAAAGTAAATTCCCTTCTATTTCTAGAGATTTTAGAGCTTTTTCATTAATGGTTATTAAAGTCTGTGTAATGCTTTTCTGCATCTGTTGATAGGAGCGTGTGCTTTCCTTATTTAGCCTGTTGATATGAATCATGCTAATTGACTCCTGGATGCTGAACCAGCCTTGACTGACCATGATTCAGTCTGCTCATATTTCTTTTATTGAGGATTTTTGTGTCTGCATTAATGTGGGAAGTTGATCTGTAGTTTTGTGGTAAAGTCTTTGTCTGGTTTGGGTATTAGGGTAATGCTGGCTTCACAGAATGCATTAGGGAGTGTTCCGTCCTCTTCTGTTTCCAGAAGAGATTGTGTAGAATTGGTTTTATTTCTTCCTTAAGTAGTTTAGGCAGGAGACTTTTTGTCCTTATATTCTGTGAAAACTTTCTCTTTCAATTTTTCTAGGTGTATGTGTGTAGAATGTTCCACTTACTCCTTCTCCACCCCTTTCACGACCAGTGATATGCTGATCATTTCTTAGTGTCACCAGGAAGCAGAATCAGTGAACTGTATTTAGATGTTGAGCCAGGAATGCTGGGCTCCAGGCTGTGCGGAGCCCAGCCTTGCTCTCCGCTGCGCTTGTTTCTGCCTTTACTTCGGGTCCTTCCCCTGCTTTCCTGTGGCCACGAGAGAATCCAAGTTTAGCCCCAAGTGAATTGTCAAGCACAGTGAATGGCACGGATTTCAGGCAACTTCCAGCCCTGTTGCCTGGCACTTTCTGGCCTCTGGTCTCTACCTGCTTGTTGCTGACTAAGTTGGGGCAGAGGGGTAACCAAAAAGCATTGCATGGTAACAGGATTCTGGTAAAACAAATGCTTGCATTTTAAATTGGTTGGAAGATTTAGAGGTAATCCCATTCTTGGAATGCATCCTAAGGCACTAATTCAACAGAAGGAAACAAAACCACCCAAAGATGCTTATTGCAGAGTGTGTGATGTGACGTGAACACAGCTGCCCCTCGAGTACTGGGAGGTAGCTGGGCACTGGGAGATGGCCGGGCACTGGGAGGTGGCCGGGTGCTGGGAGGTGGCCGGGCACTGGGAGATGGCCGGGCACTGGGAGGTGGCCGGGCGCTGGGAGGTGGCCGGGCGCTGGGAGGTGGCCGGGTCCTGGTAGGCGGCCGGGTGCTGGGAAGTGGTCAGCAGTTCCCTCAGCAGTGGCAGTGGCAGTGTGGGAAGCAGGTGTGGCATCATAGGGAACCCAGAGAAGGGGAGACCCTTAGGAAAACGGAATTAGGGTGACTTCCTCTTTTCACACTTTTTTTAAAGCTGCCATGTTGTTAACAGGTGAGCAGGGTGGAGGTCATGTACCATGTTTTTAAAAGGGAAGGTGTCTTCTGAGTAAGAAGAAAAAGCTTTTCTTTTCCCCGATCACGTTTCCCACTGCCTTGGTGCTGCCTGCACCTGCGCCTCCCCGGGTGAGAGGTTCTCACAGCGCAGCCCTGGCCTGGGTCTGAGCTGCTTTGTGGGGAGGGTGCGTGGCGCCCGTGACCTCTCCCTTCCTCCCGCAGGAGCTCAGCGAGATGCTGCACACAGACCGGCCGGACTGGCAGAGCGTCATGCAGTACGTCGCCCAGATCTACAAGTACTTCGAGACCTAAGCCTGCGGGGCCCGCCAGCCGCCACCTGCCATCGTCCCGGAAGCCCCGGTCACTCCACAGGCCCTGCTTTCACGGCCACAGCCTGGCCGCTGGGTTTCAAAGGAAGGTTCCATCCAGCGGTCCAACTGACAAATGAGACAGAGCTGGCTGCACCGCGCACCCACCTTGAATTGAGATGCATTTGGGGTGTGAGTTGGGGAAGCTTTGCTCTCCCAGGGCCTCCCTCCTTCCAGACCCAGGAGACCCTAGGGTGGCATGTGCAGCTGTGTGGCCTCCCCTGGAGCCGCCCTGAGATTGACAGGGACAACCGGCACTTCCTGCCAGTCCCCTCGTTACCAGCGTCCCGGCTTTGGCCTTTAAAAAAACCTTGCCCTTCTACCCACCCACTCCCTCCAAAAACAGCCAACAAAAGATAAGCATTTGTAGCCTGGAACACGTGAACCCTGCCGTCTGGGGTACGCTTATGGTCTAGGTATCAGCGGCACAGCTAGGCCTTGGTCACAGTTTGAGACCACTGTCCTGCACATGCTGTGTGGATGGAAGATGGTCATGGGAGAATGAGAAGGAGCCCCTGGGTAGCTCGCTTCACTGTCCCTGTGGGGGCCTCCAGGTGGGCTCTGGCTCTCCGGGCGGCGGTGCAGGTGGGAGCCTGGCTCTCCGGGCGGCTGTGCAGGTGGGAGCCTGGCTCTCCGGGCGGCGGTGCAGGTGGGAGCCTGGCTCTCCGGGCGGCGGTGCAGGTGGGAGCATGGCTCTCCGGGCGGCGGTGCAGGTGGAGCCTGGGTCTCCGGGCGGAGGTGAAGGTGCGGAGCCTGGCTCTCCGGGAGGCTGTGCAGGTGGGAGCCTGGCTCTCCGGGCGGCGGTGCAGGTGGGAGCCTGGCTCTCCGGGCGGCGGTGCAGGTGGGAGCCTGGCTCTCCGGGCGGCGGTGCAGGTGGGAGCCTGGCTCTCCGGGCGGCTGTGCAGGTGGGAGCCTGGCTCTCCGGGAGGCTGTGCAGGTGGGCTCTGGCTCTCTGGGTGGCAGTGCAGGTGGGACCTGGCTCTCTGGGCGGCGGTGCTGGGACTGGGTCACTTGCAGCTGCCTGTGCTCATGCCGAAGGGAAGCTGCAGTGACTTCACCTCCTCCATCTGTCCTCCCATTTGCTCCACTCCCATTCTCTCCTACACACGCTTGTCCCATGTGCAGAATTGACCGACAGGAAGCCACCCGTGTGAAATCCCTGTGTCTGCTGGGGTTGGGGGTATTTGTGCAGTGAAACAGCCTACAGGTGTATTTCTTGGGATACTGGGCAGACAGCAAATTTAAACATTTCAACTTTAGGCTTGTTTAGCATTTAGTACTTCAGCTGGGCTTCGTGTTCGCATGGCAACAAGGGTGGGCAGAGGCGGAAATGCAGTTTCTCTGCTCTTCTGGGCTCACTCTAAGTGACAGCAGAGCCCCCTCGAGCGCCCCATTCGCCTGGGAGTTACGCTGAGCAAGTAGCCACCGGTGGTTCTTCGGTGTTCCTGGCGGCAAATAAAGGCACATTGCATGGCAAGTGGGGTGCGGTGCACATAAGTAAATTGGGGTGAATTCATCAGTGCCCTTCACTTGCTAATGAAGGTGCCCCGTAGCTGTGTGAGTGCCCCCAGACAAGGGTCATTGTCACATTGTTACAGCAGCGCTCTCCCTGCTTACGTCAATCTCATGGTGGGCGCTGTCCCAGCCGGGCTGGAGGCTCCAGGCCCAGCTCTGTCCTGGGAGAGGCGAGTTCGCCCTCCCTCCAGGCCACCCGGCAGGCCCGCCCCGCCGCCCTCCGCGCTGTGGAGGTTCTGGGGCACTGGGGAGCGCCTGGCCTGCCCATCAGGTGTGGGGCCTGCATGTTGTCTGAATCCCTGAGCCAGAGAGAGCAGCTTCGTGGCCACATGGGGCCTGGCAGGTGCTGCTGCTGCTTTCACATCTGGCCCTTGCTGTCCAGTGGAGGCGGAGGTGCCGTCCAGCAAGTCCCCTCCTCCTCGAATGAGCAGGGGAAAGCGGGACACTTGCCTCTCCCACTGCTTCTGCCTGCTCACCACCGCTGTGGGGGCGGAGCCCGGGCTGGTGAGGGCGGTGCTGGCTCATCACCTCGAGGCTTAGTGCAGGAGAGACCCTGAGGCCTTGGGATGGGAGGGGGGTCAGCACTGTCAGCGCCTGGTGCAGTGACTCCCATGGTGATTCAGCACAGGCTCTGGGCAGAGCGGAGCGGGGTGGGGGTGGGGGGTGCCTTTTCCCCTCCCTCCATGCCCGTCCTGCTCCCTGCAGGTTAGAAAGGGGGAATGTCATACAAAAGGAAGGCCATGTGCCAACTTATTTTTATAATTCAAGGAAGTTCCTTTACCACCATTTTGTTGCTGGTGGGCACGCGTGGAGGGGCGCGTGTGTCCTGTCGGACAGCACAGTGGCTGAGCAGGTCTGGCGCTGGGGGCCAGGCCGGCCGCACTGCAGGGTCTGGGGAGAAGCTGTCCCAGCGGGGCTGAGCCACAGAACAGGGTTTTTAAGTGTGTTTTTAGTTGGAGAGCTCAGAGCACAAGGGGAATGTGGGAAATAGATAAATAGAAAGCGGGGCGGCATCAGCGAGTTGTGTCATTTCGTTTCCTGTCCTGAGGTTTTCAGAGGCTACAACAGCCATGTTTCTCCCATCTTCCTTCAGGCACTGCTCAGTCATTTAAAAGTACTTGGTGGTTCTGCAGACCCTATTTTTAATGTATTATTTTTATATAAAAAGCACGTGCGATATGCAAGACCCATAAGAGCAGGCGGGGTTTTTAAAAGACATAGAAGTATGGTCTCTGCACCGGGGTGGTGTCGTGGCCTTGAACTGTGGTTGGTCTCCGGCACTGCCGAGCCTTGCCGCCCGGGGTAGCGTCTGGGGAATCGCACACGCACACTCCCCCACCCGGGCCCCCCCTCACTGTAGAAAGGGGCGCAGCCTCCGGGATTCCTTCTCCATCTGTTGTTGTTCACAGCTTTTGTTGGTGCGCAGGTGTTACACAAAGTGCACTTCCCACGGCGCTTAGCCGCCTGGCACTTAGCCGCCTGGCGCTTAACCGGCCGGCGCTTAGCCGCCTGGCGTCGCAAGAGGTTCTCAGCCGCCCTCTTCCCCGCTGAGGCGGGTGCGGCGATGGAGGGTTCGGGTCTGTGAAAACCCCTCTGCCAAATGCAGCCCCAGTTCTTCCCCTCCCAGAGCTGAGCCATTTGAGACGACTGCCAAGGGCATGCAGTAAAGGTGTGACCTGGCTGCCTTTTCACTAGTGAGTGTGTTTTTAATATCCCAGAAGCCCGAGTTTGCTGGAGGTCGCCTCCCTGACCCGGTTAGAGTTGCTGAGGCCCTGAGTGCTCACTGATTCAACAATGTGAGTTGGATGCAGCGGACACACCTGTGGCCTCGTTGCCGCACAAGCTCACCCGGTGGTCCGAGCGTCCTCAGGGCAGGCCAGGCCAGCAGAGCTGGGTGCACGACTAACTGAAAGTGTATGATATGTGACTAATATTTCTAATAAATATATTTTGTTTCTGTCTGATTATGAATTTTTCCCAGTGACATTTGCTAATATTTTCTCCAGCTACCAAGTGCACATTCAGACTGTTTTCAAACGAGTGTCTCCGTGTCCTTAGGCCAGTGATGGCGAACCTTTGAGCTCGGCGTGTCAGCATTTTGAAAAACCCTAACTTCACTCTGGTGCCGTGTCACATATAGAAATTTTTTGATATTTGCAACCATAGTAAAACAAAGACTGATATTTATTTTATATATTTAAATGCCATTTAACAAAGAAAAATCAACCAAAAAAGTGAGTTTGTGTGTCACCTCTGACACGCGTGTCAGGTTCGCCATCACTGCCTTAGTCCTTGTTGGGCGGCGATTGCCCACGCAGCTGCCCTGAGCTGGCGTCACTAGAAGTTACCAGAAAGGACTGGGGTCCCCGCGGCTCCAGCCTCCTCCCCCTCACAGCCCTCTCCCAGGGAAGAGCATCCTCCGGCCGAGGTGCGCAGATGGGTGGAGAGCAGCCCCCGCTGCCCAGCTCAGCGTGAGCACAGAGGTCCTGGGAGAGCACACACGGGAGGGGAGTGTCTGAGACACAGGCAGTGCTCAGAGGATGTTTAGTGGTGGCGGGGGGGGGGGGGGGGGGGGGGGGGTTGGCACCAGTCAGTTGTGCGTGCTGATTGGCCAGGTATGTGTGCTGTTCAGGTGTCACTCAGAGGCTGTGCCACAGCAGAGGAGAAAGGAAGCTACCCCTTCTAGAATCCACTCCCCTGCTTCCCGGGAAGCCCCGCTGTCAGGGGCCTTTCCTGGGGAGCCCTGCATCTGCTCTGTGGGGCCTCTGAGGAGAGCTTCCCGCGCCCCCAGGCTCCGGATGCACCAGGACAGCAAAGGTTTTGTTGGTTCAACATCTGATTACCTGCAACCATGTCCTGCTGAGCACACGCACACGCACACAGGCGTTTGCTGATAGCCAGTGTCTGCGCCTGAAAAGTGACCCCTCAGTAGTTCCCCACTGTTTGGGGCCCATCAGGGAGGCCCGGACCCCCTGAACGAAGCACGTCCCCGGACATTTGTGTCAGATGCGTTGTCTGGCTCGTGCTGAATCAGGCATCCGGCAAGAAATTCCCAGCAGTGCCGATGCAGGTGGCATCCGCTGTGGATGGGGACTCTATGCGCCCAGAGGCCTAGCGGTCCCAGGCCATGGCCCCGGCGCCCCCCCCCCCCCCCCCCCCCCCCAGTGTGTGGCGCCTTGGGGGTTCTGGGCTCACTGCACTCACTGCACTTGGCCCCGGCAGGCAGGCCACGTTTTACTTGCTCATGATGCCTCAGCCTCCTGTATAATCATTGCTGGGTGCATCATTTTGCTTAATCCAGCTACGATGAACTCTCGTCCCGGCTTGGAATTCCCACGGAGCTCTGGGAGCAGTTGGCTCAGCGTCAGTCAGCCCAACAGCCCAGGCTCAGGGCAGCCTAGACCGGCCTTCCCAGCATGGGCCAGCGTGATGGCGAACATCCTGGAACTGCGGATGTGAGACCCTTGGGGAGAAACTTGAAACCGAATCGCCTGAAGATCTTCGTCATTTGTCCTTTTTGTTTTAAATATTTTTATTGAGTTTATTGGAGTGACATTGGTTAATAAAGTTATATAGGTTTCAGATGTACAGTCCTGTGATATAGTATCTGTATTTGTATTGTGTATTCACCCGAAGTCAAGCCTCCTGTCACCATGTCATCCCTTTACCCTCTCTTCCTCCCCTACCCCCTTTCCCTCTTTTAATCACCATACGGTTGTGTGTGTCTATGAGATTGTGGGGGACTGTTTCTCTCTTTTCCATGTCCCGCATGGAAAAGGAAACAGTCCATTTGCTGAGTGGAGGAGCTGGGGATTAAGAAATTAAAGAAAGACCAAGACGCAGAAATAGATTTTAAGCTGGGGCCAGGTGGGCGCCATCCTCTCTGATGGAGAGGCAGCAAAAGGCGGCCTGAGCCACACAGCAGGTTTATTTTAAAGGCCTGGATTTATATACCTAGTTCCGCCCCTGCCTGATTAACATGTCCAGCCTTACTGGGGAAGCATGTTCCCAGGGCGTGGCTCTGCCTATGCTCTGAGTTCAGCTGACAATAATTATAAGAAAATGCCTAGGTGCCTCCCAAGTGGCCCTCTACATGAGATGTTGGAGGTTTTTTCTTAATCTA